CTGCCGACAAACTATAAGGATCACTTTGCAGTGCAGAGAAAAGTGATAAAGAATAGCACACTAATAATACTGCGTGATCCGGTTTAACGTCGAGTGAAGAAATAAATCCATTGAAGGTCTCAACACTACAGCACAAAGCGTGTACTTCAGCATTATATGATGACGCACACATACCAGCTGGGGCAGATTTTGACCAAAAAGGCTCAACGCCGACATTTGACCAAATCGCACCTCCAGCTCCCCCATAGCCGGTTTTAGAGTCAACGGAGCCATCCGACCAGATCTCCCACAGAACACGATCATCACATTTGGCTCTCTCTCTAGCAGAGTTAATCACCTTTAAAGCAACCATCTGTCTTATAGAATCATCATCCTTTCTGTCACAATGTGCAGCATAGAATTTAACTGGCAGAGAGAGCCAAGGTACTATAGATAGGAGATTGGTTCGATGAATCGATGCATGGGCATGACGTGCTCCGTGGACCACGGACCGTGGTGTATGCGAATTCTCCCTGGTGTAATGAATTTTAGATTTTTGTATTCAACTGGTGTCTTTGGTTGCACAAGCTCCATTTGCTTAGAGCATCTATCTCACGTTGGAGAATCCAACGCTCCACCGTGGGATGTTACCGAGCTGCGCTTATGCGCAGTACCGTCGCCGTTGTTAAAATAACAAAGCCGACTAGTTCGTTCGTTCACTGTTCGTTGGTTTTGTCCCAACTCAGTCGTTGCAATTTGCAACTTGCAAATGTACCCTGTTGGCTTTGTTACACCCCTGTTTCTTTTATACGCGAAAACGTTGGCAAAGTTCACAAATAGTTGATTCTTTACAGTCAAGTGCTGTTCATCAGCCGAGCTCTAACATGTGTATCGTGTGTTGTATATGCTGTGCATTACACGGCAATTCACGTGGGTCGCACGCAACGCGCAAGCTGATTCAGCAGAAGCTGCCACAAGTTGGATGCTATCAGGAGATACTCCTTCTTTCGCGCATGGACTCCATGCCATGGAGATACCACTACGATGGCCTGGGCAGTCGCTTTAACGGTGATTCTGTTTGTCTTGACTTCTTCATTTCCCTAGAGTTGGTTTATTCGTGTGTGGTGCATGTGTGGCCGCACAAGCTGGTTGTGCGGAATCTTGTTCATTTGTAGCGTTTTACGTGGGGTACGTGAGTTGATTGATGTTTATAGAGCAGATGGACTCAGGAATGAGGAGGACTTCTGGGATCTTTTCTTTTGGTAGCCATCTTGGCTCAGGCGAGTTGTAACCATCAACTGACGAGTAACTCCTTATCTAGCGCCAATGTCAGTGCAGGGTTGTTCACCAGTGGTCATGGGCTTGAACATGAAGACGCTGCACTCCGGACAACCTAAAGGAGCATATGCAGCGCACAACCGTGAAGGCATATCATAAAACCGTTATCATTATTAGAATATCTTCTTTACTGATAGCAAGCGAGGGCTCGAGGAATGTTGTGCAGATCATTTCCATTTCGTGATGCCCTATCCTGTTCTGAGACTCCTCATCATCCTGTGGGTTGTCGTTGCTACCCTAGGCGGCGACAATCGAATGAGTGATCAAAGAGCATTCAATATCACCGTGGAGGGGACTGACGATTACAGGGATGTCTATGAGGATGGATATGATGCTGTTAGTGCCGTGTTTAGTCCAAGAAGGACCTGGGGTCACCTAACGACCTTTGCCGTGCGTGCCGGACTTGCTGGGTCTTCATCTGCTGTGGCGGGCTCGATTGCTGGACTGTAATGGCTCTATGTGGTGGGGAGTGTGACTGCTGTAACAACCAGTAACAGATCGACTGTTTTCCAAGGAGATGAGCAGCCAACGACCTTTTCGATAATGTGATCAAGTCAAAAAACCACATCGGGTACATTTGACCGTCAAATGTACGCCGAATATTGATAAAGCTCATTATTTATGTCCTGAATCATGATGCTCCATAGTCATCATTTTTCTTCTGTCATCGTCGGGTCGATTCCGTCTTCAATTCTGACTTCATCTGATTCCATTTGACTCCGTTTGACTTCATACATTGGTGCATGTGCTGGGCCTTTGTTCACTGTGATGGTGGGTCCGATGGTCAGTACTGTGTGCACTGAGGAGTCTCCTGGACGGGTTCTTAGAAATCGATTCTGTTACCAGTTGAGCGTTCATCATTAGTCGATCTTATGATCTCTACGGTGTTCGACTCTCCTTTGAATAAACTGAGAATCCATCTTTGCCTTTTGTTGAGTTACAGGGCTATATGATAGGAAGATATGTGAGCGAGATATTTCACAACCTCTGCCTAGTTGCCGTAAACTTCAACTATCGAATTGATGGTATCAATCTCTGCTCGAGCTCAGTATAACTGTGTGTTGGAGCACACAGTTGTATGTCAGGCATTATCAGCATTTTTAAGCGTTGAATGTCTTCCGTGATTATCATCACTCATATGAAGATATCCCTTATTCTCGCTATCCTGCTTACCTTGGGTGTTGTCAACGGTGATGTTCATGTGGATGATACTGGGAGGATCATCTCTGACATGATGATGGACAAGCAGGCCGATATTGGCAGTCACGTGTCCGGATTTGACCTCAAACAAGACTCGTATAGGGACCTTGGGAATCCAGTTAGCTGTGTTGGTTGCAAAATCTGCAGGGCATTTGGGTTTATTGCCCCTCCTTGTTGGCCTGTAGACGCTGCGTGTGGCACTGATTGCCATAAATGTTGTGATGGTGACATTTGATATTTTTCGGCTGTTCAACACACCAACTACATATTCTTTCTCATACATATTCCGACATAACTTTTGAACCCATATTCATTCCCTTAGTTTGTTAGTCGCGTCAGTACGAGAAGCTCATCTGATGCAAGACCCAGTTTCCTGACCAGCTGGTCACCACTGGTTTCTTAACATTGGTTTAGCATGTCGTTCAATCTGTTTCGTATCAACCTATGTACTCGTTATAAAACTCACAGGTTTTTCACAGATTGCCCTGTCGTGTTCCATCTTCACCGATCGGAGGTCTATTCGGCGAATGAAGTCCCTATGCCCGGGGATAAGGAATCCACATATAGTGGTAAGGGCAATAACTTAGTGCTTACGTATTGTTGCAACTATCACATGCTTCATATGAACGTAAGACCCGGGACGTGCCGATATTAGCAAAGTCAGTGCCAAATTGGCAATTCTTATAGTAGCAGCAATAGGAGTTTGGAATGCAAACTCCGACTTATGAGGATAAGACCTTCATGTTACGTGTTCGAAGAGCGATTGATCCCATCATCAGTCGTCGCTTTTCGGACAACGATTTTCGGAGCAGGACTCGAGAGGAGACTCTGGAGAACATGGCCCCGATTGCAGCGAGGCTGAGTGAGTGTCATATGGTACAGTCGCAAGTGGTACAGTATAGCTGTTAGCTATACTGGTACTGCGCTTATGCGCAGTACCGTCGCCGTTGCTAAAATAACAACGTTGACAAAACCCGACTAGTGGTATTACACTGCTAACATTCACAACGGGCAGTTGATTTTTGCACCCTCACCTGTTGGGAATTATCACTGTCCGTTGGTTTTGTCCCAACCCAGTCGTTGCAAATGTACCCTGTTGGTTTTGTTACACCCCTGTTTCTTTTATACGCGAAAACGTTGGCAAAGTTCACAATTACCCGGCTCCCTTCCTCCCCGGCGTTGGGTCGTGGGCCGGAGGATGACACTAAACACGTGTGATCCTCGGCCAACGTGATGGGGCCAACCTCACACGGAACGTGAGGTGCCACACCACATCGCCAGGGTGGGCGGGAGGTTGGAAAAAAGGACGACAAATAACTGAGGCGAAGGTGGGATGTAACCCAACATCCCGGAAGAACTTTGAATCACTGCTGAATAGCGCTAGGTGTTGCGTCGACACAACGTGACTGTCCCTTCACACACGCCGGAGACCGTCGCCGAGTAAACTGGCCCAACGAGTTGACCTCGATTACCCGGCTCGCTTCCTCCCCGGCGTTGGGTCGTGGGCCGGAGGATGACACTAAACACGTGTGATGCTCGGCCAATGTGATGGGGCCAACCTCACACGGAACGTGAGGTGCCACACCACATCGCCACCAAACACGAAACCCACGCCGGGAAGTGCACCCAATAGTTTGAATAAAACCAAACTGCGATCCCCAACCAAACCACCGGATGGTCAAAGAAACTCACACACAGAAAACTAGAGACACGCATAGTAAGGAAGGGTTAGCGACGAGGAATCATACGTTCAGCCAACGTTACTCTTTCGGACAATGATGCATCGACTAAGTACTCATACACGCATTCGCTGGACCATCTGCCCTGTTCACGGATAGTATGATCTCGAACCGCACTGAGGTAACATAAGGTGGCACCAGTGGGCCTGAGCGAGTGGAGCCCATATTCCACCAAGGCCTCGGAAGATATACCGAGGCGCGACAGCAAATGGCGAAACTCGCTCATGAAATTGTCGTGACACAAGCGACGACCACCGAATTCGAAAAGTGGAGAGGAGGGTGGTTTAGCAACAGCGGATAGGGCGAGCAGACGGTGATAAGCACAGTAAGGGAAGCAGGAAGATCCATCAGGGCATCCACGCACACAAGAGATCAACACGGACTCACCGCGACCTGCCTGATCTATTTTTGATTTTCGAACAGCTATGCCAGCTACACGTTTTCCCAGGCGGGAACAGACATGTAAGTCTTCGAAGTTAAGAGCGATGATTTCATCGCCTCGCAAAAGACCAAAAATTCCAGTCAATGAAGCAGATACAATAACATTTGTGCCGGAGGGATCAAGGATGCCTAATTGACAGACCTGGTCCCGGGTCAAAGGGAGCTTTTGGTCAACGGTATGGTCGCAAATCTTCGAAGCAGATTTCTTAGCCATACGTAAGACAAATTCGTCTTGTGACGATAGCTCATTACCGTAGACTCTGTTCCGAGAAACCATCACGCTCAGATAGGAGGAAACCGTACCAAACTTATATCCAGCACGTGACAGGGCATAAGCGAAAAGCGCCAGAGAGAAACCAGAGGCTGGAAACGGGACAATTGCCCGACTAACTACTTCCCTGTAGAAAGACTCGATGGAGTCGTACTGCTTTGAAGTACTGGCAGCGTGGCCGTCTCTGACGAAACCCCAAACAGCTGAGCCTAGAGTGCCGGATGAGTGATCGTTGATGACTGAACATGCACAGAGACGCTTGGGAAGGCGCGCAGAGTCGCGATCTAGTAGATGACCTAACACAGAACGCCATGGATAAATGAGAAAAACAGGGAAACTAGTGATAGACAAAATGTGACGAAGCTCTTGTATCCAAGGCTTAAACATGGAGTAGGTTATCGACTCTAATAGGAACTCGGGACCAGCCAATAGGAACTATACGACTTGGACAAGACGAACGACTAAGTTGATCAGCAATAGTGTTTTCATCCGATGGAACATACAAAAAACCTCCCAACTGTAGCACACACGTGAAAGACGAGAGACAAGGGCCTGCAGGACTTTGTTTATGCGAAAAGTTCGCGAACGAAACTTGCGAAAGCTAACCATAGCTCCTGTGTTATCCGTGAAGAGACGGCAAGGTAGTCGGGACTCTACAGAGGTAGGAAAAATATCGAGACCCGCGCAAAGCCCCAGGGCTGCGGCTAAACATTCAAGAAGCACCATATCATTACAAGTAGGATTAGAGGGTGTTTCAAGCATAGATCTCCAACTACCTAGGCCCTCACCTGAGGATAGGGGGACCTGAAACCACGAGGTCGAGTCTCTGAAGGACATCCAGCCGGCCAGTGCGTACGTTGACGCGTCACATGTTATTGTTAGCACGTCACTAGTTCTAACCGGAAAAATTGGTAAGCGTAGTAGGAAGGGGAAAGAAGGGACAAGAGAAGAATGAGACGAGATAGTCCTAGACCACCAACATAAGGCCGAGAAGAGCTCCGAGTTCGGAGATAATTTGACCGATCGTAACCTTTTTCTCTTCAGCAAGCTAGCGAGAGAGTACACCGGAGACAAGTTCGACTTTGCGCAAGGACAAATCATGCACAGACGAGTCAGTTTGCCTGCGAAGGATTCAATGGTGTGCAGAGATATGGTATTGGGACGACAGACGATGACAGAATTGAGCTCGGAGGAAAGGGACGAGACCTTAGCAGCAGACAACTGAATTTCGGATTTGATGCCTTCGATGGTTACATCGAAACCAATAAAACGAAAACAAGAAGTCATAAGACTACACTTTGGCCATGACAGAGTGATACCGAGTAAGGGAAATAAGATTAAGAGACAACCAGTGAGAAAAATGGCTCGCTTCCGAGGCAACAACCAGCAAAAATCATCAATATACACCCAGCCAGCACCCGGGCTATCTGGGGATAAGGCTTGCAGTAGAGAATTACTAACTCGTAAAATCTTGCTAGATAGACGACAAAAGGCCCAACCAGCCGTCACTACACCAAACAGCACGGCCAAGTTCTCATAGTCACGACCATCGAACGAGAAACAGCAGTATTTGCGGTTAGAGTTCAGCATAAGAAGGTGTCTGTATGCACCTTTTATATCGACTTTGCTACATAGTCTTGGAAGGATCCATCGGGTGAAACGAGAGACTTGAGTAGGAGTCGTATATCATGTAGGCTTGGATGAGTAGTATGCTCCACAGGAGCAATTCTGGCATTCGCCCCTGAGCGTTTGAAATCCTCCACTAAGCGATATAACTTGGTACCATCGGGAGCACACTTCCCTTTGGGGACTGCGGCTAACTTCGAAAAGAAACGGTCGGGCTGTAGAGCTTCATCATCAGACAGTTCACGTATTCTACCGAGACGAAACTCCTCTTCGACAACGGATCTGATCGCAGTGCGATCATCGCACACGTAGCATCCTGACCGCTGAAGTAATTAGCTCGTTCAAGAGAAGAGAAGCTGTGTTCGTCAAAGGAGGCGGCGTCATCGCCAGTGTTCTCACTGGACTTTGCAACAGGAAAGATTCCGGAAGCTTTGAGACCGCCTTCAAAACCCAAATTCACACCGGTATCTAGTTCGCTGACCAGGCCACCGTCATTCCCTGGGTCGAAGAGAGCCGACAAATAGTCGAGGACATCGGGACGTATGGGGCTACCAGAAGAGCAAGCTCGAGATGTCACTGTGGAAGAATATTCCAGGCTATCTAGTATATCATCAGCTGCACCAGAGAAGGCATTGAGTAAAGACTGAGACCTATCCGGTCTGACTTCTTCCGAACGCGTTGTAGAAGCCGCGAGGACATCATCTAGCTTGTGGTCATCGATCGTTTTGGTCAGTAAGTGTGTGAAAGAAGCGACATCAGGAGTAAGCTTGCAAGCAACGTTGGGAACAGCGGGTAAATGGGCACGGATGCCCGACCCATCTTGATACAGGACTTCACAAGCAGGGACTACTTGCGAGACTGACAAGTGAAACAGTTTACTTCACTGAATGGCTGAACTAGATGATCATGACTAACTTGAAACTATTCACTTCAACTGACTGACTGACTGACTGACTGACTGACTGACTGACTGACTGACTGACTGACTGACTGACTGACTGACTGACTGACTGACTGACTGACTGACTGACTGACTGACTGACTGACTGACTGACTGACTGACTGACTGACTGACTGACTGACTGACTGACTGACTGACTGACTGACTGACTGACTGACTGACTGACTGACTGACTGACTGACTGACTGACTGACTGACTGACTGACTGACTGACTGACTGACTGACTGACTGACTGACTGACTGACTGACTGACTGACTGACTGACTGACTGACTGACTGACTGACTGACTGACTGACTGACTGACTGACTGACTGACTGACTGACTGACTGACTGACTGACTGACTGACTGACTGACTGACTGACTGGACCCGTTGACTGATTACTAACTAACTGAACTAGACGACTGGGACTAACTTAAAACTATTCACTGTTACTGACTGACTAGCCCCGAACTGCGATTGGGGATACTTGTAAGATAAAAACAAATTAGAACCAACCACGAGGTTTTCACTCGGGTGAAAAGACTTGACCGCGTAGAGATTGCAATTGATGAAAACCTCGATCGTGACCGACTCATCCCTCGACATTGACCGACTAGTCCCTCAAACGTGACCTGTTACCTGCGGATTGAGTAGAGGATCTCCCGGTATCAGTAGCACGACCTTGATTTGGGCGACTATATTATAGTCGCTTATAGTCACTATAAGGAGAAGATTGCGGACCCTGACTGTTCGGAGCACCCAAGGAGTGGCTGAATCTGCAGGAGTCACCGAATCTACAGTCTCCTCGCAAATAATGTCGACATAGACGGTCCGTGGTTGTAGAAGGGGTCGAAGTACTACTTGAGTTAGACGAAGAGGGAATTTGTTGGAGAGGAAGACGACTAGGAGTGGTTGTCGCACGAGCCAAAGCGGCGGACATAATAGTTGGTAGAACATCGTCGCGTAGCATGTGGGAGACGGAGTAGGTTCCTGTCGTCACCAACTGGGCAATCGCAGAGCGGTACTTGGCGTCGTAGTCTATAATAGCTGGAGCACCGAGGGCAGGAAGAAAATCGACTAGGCGTCTCCAGTAAGCTAAAACGTCACACACTTAGTCCAACTTTGGAAGGAGAACCATCAACGACAGGTGGGAACAAAATCGAGTAGGTCACGCCCCAGCGGAAGAGAGCAACGGAAAGTTCTGTGAAACCCGACAACTTACGTTTTTCAGTGCTCGACATCACCAGTTGTCCCGAATTGTTGACCTTGAAGGATTTGTTATCGTCCGTCGAGATTACCTCTCGACGAGGTAAGAATTCATTGAGATCCATACGTACGGCTTGTTCTGGTTTCTTCATCTTCTGGAGTATAGCAGGCTTCGTCGACATCAACGTAGGTAGCGGAGCTGAACCGTGAATGCGCTGGAAGTCAGACAGCATCTTGTTCATATCCTCGGTGCTGAGCTCCTTGGATTCCTTCTTCGCAGTCGAAGTCGCGGCACGACTGCATAGGATGCTGAAAATGACCTTGCTTCTGATAGGAAGCTCCTCAGCGATAGCGGACTTGATGTGGTCGACCTTAGCGACGGAACCTAACGCTTCCTTAGTGTTGATGCCGTTCCTGACGAGTACTGCGAGAACTGGTCCCACGGAAACCGGCCCAAACCATCAGCGAGAGACACCAGCTCTCGATGTACAGCAGTAGCCGGGGTGGTATAGTCGATTAAATCCGTGGTTCCCATAGTAACAGGATGAGTTGTTGTACGAAGCATAGTAGACTCTACAGAGGGGGAAGGGTTCGGATCACCGGGAAGGTCGGCCAGAACAGTTGGTCTTGAAGTTACGTCATTGTGTGGTTGATGCTGATTGGAGTCGTCGACCGTCTCAGTAGTATTGCCCGAGGGGACGCTAGGCTCAGAAGTGGAGGGCTGCGGTGGAGAAGAGTCGTGACCGGCGACATTGGGTGATGCTGGGCTTCGACGGCTGCGAGGTGCTGGAGTCATTTGGAAAAAAGGACGACAAATAACTGAGGCGAAGGTGGGATGTAACCCAACATCCCGGAAGAACTTTGAATCACTGCTGAATAGCGCTAGGTGTTGCGTCGACACAACGTGACTGTCCCTTCACACACGCCGGAGACCGTCGCCGAGTAAACTGGCCCAACGAGTTGACCTCGATTAGTTGATTATTGCGCCATGTTGGCATTTGAGCCCGTTGCTTTTGTTCACCCACCCCAACTTTACAGTGGCTCCATGGAAGCGATTCTTGAGAAATCAAGTGACTGCGAGTCGCAGTCTGCGGCCAACGGGAAATTCTTTACAGTCAAGTACTGTTCATCAGCCGAGCTCTAACATGTGTATCGTGTGTTGTATATGCTGTGCATTACACGGCAATTCACGTGGGTCGCACGCAACGCGCAAGCTGATTCAGCAGAAGCTGCGACAAGTTGGATGCTATCAGGAGATACTCCTTCTTTCGCGCATGGACTCCATGGACTCCATGCCATGGATATACCACTACGATGGCCTGCGCAGTCGTCTTCAACGGTGATTCTGTTTGTCTTGACTTCTTCATTTCCCTAGAATTGGTTTATTCGTGTGTGGTGCATCGAGGCCGCACAAGCTGGTTGTGCGGAATCTTGTTCATTTGTAGCGTTTTACGTGGAGTACGTGAGTTGATTGATGTTTATAGAGCAGATGGACTCAGGAATGAGGAGGACTTCTGGGATCTTTTCTTTCGGTAGCCATCTTGGCTCAGGCGAGTTGTAACCATCAACTGACGAGTAACTCCTTATCTAGCGCCGATGTCAGTGCAGGGTTGTTCACCAGTGGTGATTGGCTTGAACATGAAGACGCTGCACTCCGGACAACCTAAAGGAGCATATGCAGCGCACAACCATGAAGGCATATCATAAAACAGTTATCATTATTAGAATATCTTCTTTACTGATAGCAAGCGAGGGATCGAGGAATGTTGTGCAGATCATTTCCATTTCGTGATGCCCTATCCTGTTCTGAGACTCCTCATCATCCTGTGGGTTGTCGTTGCTACCCTAGGCGGCGACAATCGAATGAGTGATCAAAGAGCATTCAATATCACCGTGGAGGGGACTGACGATTACAGGGATGTCTATGAGGATGGATATGATGCTGTTAGTGCTGTGTTTAGTCCAAGAAGGAACCTGGGGTCACCTAAGGACCTTTGCGGTGCGTGCCGGACTTGCTGGCTCTTCCTCTGCTGTGGCGGGCCCGTTTGCTGGACTGTAATGGCTCTATGTGGTGGGGAGTGTGACTGCTGTAACAACCAGTAACAGATCGACTGTTTTCCAAGGAGATGAGCAGCCAATGACCTTTTCGATAATGTGATCAAAGTCAAAAAACCACATCGGGTACATTTGACCGTCAAATGTACGCCGAATATTGATAAAGCTCGTTATTTATGTCCTGAATCATGATGCTCCATAGTCATCATTTTTCCTCTGTCATCGTCGGGTCGATTCCGTCTTCAATTCTGACTTCATCTGATTCCATTTGACTCCATTTGACTCCATACATTGGTGCATGTGCTGGGCCTTTGTTCACTGTGATGATGGGTCCGATGGTCAGTACTGTGTGCACTGAGGAGTCTCCTGGACGGGTTCTCAGAAATCGATTCTGTTACCAGTTGAGCGTTCATCATCAGTCGATCTTATGATCTCTACGGTGTTCGACTCTCCTTTGAATAAACTGAGAATCCATCTTTGCCTTTTGTTGAGTTACAGGGCTATATGATAGGAAGATATGTGAGCGAGATATTTCACAACCTCTGCCTAGTTGCCGTAAACTTCAACTATCGAATTGATGGTATCAATCTCTGCTCGAGCTCAGTATAACTGTGTGTTGGAGCACACAGTTGTATGTCAGGCATTATCAGCATTTCTAAGCGTTGAATGTCTTCCGTGATTATCATCACTCATATGAAGATATCTCTTATTCTTGCTATCCTGCTAACCTTGGGTGTTGTCAACGGTGATGTTCATGTGGATGATACTGGGAGGATCATCTCTGACATGATGATGGACAAGCAGGCTGATATTGGCAGTCACGTGTCCGAATTTGACCTCAAACAAGACTCGTATAGGGACCTTGGGAATCCAGTTAGCTGTGTTGGTTGCAAAATCTGCAGGGCATTCGGGTTTATTGCGCCTCCTTGTTGGCCTGTAGACGCTGCGTGTGGCACTGATTGCCATAAATGTTGTGATGGTGACATTTGATATTTTTCAGCTGTTCAACACACCAACTACATATTCTTTCTCATACATATTCCGACATAACTTTTGAACCCATATTCATTCCCTTAGTTTGTTAGTCGCGTCAGTACGAGAAGCTCATCTGATGCAAGACCCAGTTTCCTGACCAGCTGGTCACCACTGGTTTCTTAACATTGGTTTAGCATGTCGTTCAATCTGTTTCGTATCAACCTATGTACTCGTTATAAAACTCACAGGTTTTTCACAGATTGCCCTGTCGTGTTCCATCTTCACCGATCGGAATCCACATAATATGTGGCACATATAGTGGTAAGGGCAATAACTTAGTACTTACGTAGTGTTGCAACTATCACATGCTTCATATGAACGTAAGACCCGGGACGTGCCGATATTAGCAAGGTCAGTGCCAAATTGGCAATGCTTATAGTAGCAGCAATAGGAGTTTGGAATGCAAACTCCGACTTATGAGGATAAGACCTTCATGTTACGTGTTCGAAGAGCGATTGATCCCATCATCAGTCGTCGCTTTTCGGACAACGATTTTCGGAGCAGGACTCGAGAGGAGACTCTGGAGAACATGGCCCCGATCGCAGCGAGGCTGAGTGAGTGTCATATGGTACAGTCATAAGCGGTACAGTATAGCTGTTAGCTATACTGGTTAGGTACTGCGCTTATGCGCAGTACCGTCACCGACGGTACAACGCAGTTCAAGCTTTTGGCCGGTCAGACAGTTGTGGCTCGTAGTACGAGCCTCGTACAGTGTCAACTCATACAGTTTCAACCAAATCTGTGTCAGATGATACAGTGTCGTTCAGTTCTGCCGAACTTAGTATAGAGGCATCTCGTGCGGTGTTATTACATACAGTTTCTAGTAGAAACTTTCTACCGGTACAAGTTCCTAATATGAAATTCATACAGTGTCCGCAAATGCAGTGACAGTTAATACAGATGCCATCGATACAGTGACACGCCATACCACTGATTTTGATAAAGTTAGATTTCGTGGAGTTGCCACCAGTACAGTTTCAGCAGTAGCCAGGCCATTTTAGTAGGTGAAATAGCGATTTGCAGAGAAATTAAGTAGAAATTCTACTGTAGAGTTGCAGCCGAGCGGCGCCTACGGGCTCTGAATACGCTAGACCAGAGATCCTGACGGAACACCTATCTGGAGAATGGCTGAATGGTATTGGCTAAGCCAACGCCGTTCAGCCAACTTGCAGTCACCGTGAATCCAGTCTTAGTACCAGAAGACTCAGGTTTGAACCTAAGTAGTGTTATTAGGGATGGAATAAAGTTGCACGAGGGTATGGGGTACGACTGTGTATCGAACATGAATGTATGCCCTAACAATGTACTGATTTGCACTGTACTCGCTTACTCTGTACGATATGATACTATACCTAGTGAGACTGTACGAAACGAGACTGTACGATTGATGATGTGCCGAGTGAAGGAAGATGACTCATTAGTGTTCAAATCAAACGAATCGAAGGTGTATCATCGAGAACTGTAGAAGTTGCAAGTGTACGAATAAGTGGTACACGAGTAGGTATTCTACGAGTTGCAACTGTACGATACGATTCTCACCGGCAAGGCCCACACCTCCGTCGTCTGATGTTTTTCGGCCATTTCGTTAGCGGTCGGACTAGTCTCAGTCCGTGTCTACTCTTCCTCTCATTCCGGATGAGAGGATGAGAATACCAATGAGTCGCTAATATTCTCGTTGCCTGATTCTCCCTGGGAGAAAATCTCCTACCACGTTCCTCTCTTCATCTCGGATGGCGTTATCACCATTGAAAGGTAGAGTAGAAACTCTACCTTGATGAGACTACCACGCAGACTAGAGCCGTGCTTTGGAAACGCATTCACGAACACAGAGCGTCAGCGTTCTTCACAGAAGATGAACTCCGGTCCCAGGGGAGACTCACAGCCTCCTGGGGCCCAGGAGACTTCCGTATTTCAAATTAGAATATACTGGGCACCTGGCGTAGTTGACAGCTTCTAACAGCAACATATATACTTACAGCCAGGAACCGTCTGCCTCTACTCCTGATCGAGCTATCATGGACGCGCTTCGACCTACTACAACGAAATCAAATCCGTTCATTCGACCCTCAGCGAAACGAGAGAAATGCAACCCCAGGAAGCCAAGGAGAGCTCCGTTCGGCCGCGGTAAGCACATGCACACAACTACAGTCAGCCGGATGAAAGGTTACGATCTATGTTTCTACGATGGCGACTCGCCATCGTATAAACAAGCATTTTATACTGCCGTAGCGTTCGGCAGTCCGAGCGTGCGGGAACTCCAGTGGAGTTACTCCACGGACCCACGTGCCGCATCATGGTGACAGCTGTCACAGCTGAGCTGTGTACGAGGTAGTGAAGGAGAGGCTCCTGACGACTGCACTGTCGACCATCTGGACAAGTTGTTCAGAACAAGCACTTATGTTCTCTCCGCGTGGAGAGAGGCAACGAGACACGCAGTCGCGACTCGCGAGGCCATTGACAACATTATTCTTGATGAGTTGGCACCAGTGGAGCAGGTGCGCGAAGGTCGTGAGATGATTGATGCGCTCCGTCAGAAGGAGGACGCTCTTGCAGCACAAATCGAGACCTTTGACGCCGACATCGCTGAGACTATAGCCAAGGTTGACCGTCTATGGTCAACGCGGGCTAGGGAGCAAGGTAGATCCCGGTTGGACTCACCAACCCCCTCGGTGAATGACGCTTGCTCGAGTACGAGATCCTATGGGGAGCTCAGTCTCGGCCTACATACATGTAGCTCTCGTATGAGTACCTACGGAGCACAGGAAAAGATCAGCACCTCCTATGGGCTCCGACTCAGCACCCCGAAGTCAGAGCTTGAAGAGTTTGGCCGATCAACCTGTCCCCGTGTCCGCTTTAGAAGCTTTTGTATCCGTATCTCACCTCACCTCACGGCAACGTCAACTGAGGTCTCACGCCCTAAATTCGCCCAGTGCGAGGATTCCATGAGCTTATCCAGGGCCTGGATAATGCCTGGACGCCAGGAACTATACGATCGTGGAGGCATTCTTGACGGAAGCCAATGCTGGAACACTCTCGGGGAAGACCTTTGCGCCGCACAGGCACCTGCGCGCGGCATGTGTTTCGAGATTGATGTCTACTCTCAAACCTGTGACTCTGAAATCTGCGGCGGAAGACCAGGCACTGAGTACCCAGTGCATAGTATCTTATAAGAATTAAGAATCCTTTTTTCAAATGCGCAAAACTTACTGAAAATTTCTGTGAGCTCTGTGTGGAATTCAAAAATTTAGGTATATTTCTCTACTCTAATACCTATTGTGAACACGACAGGAAAAATGTGTCGATAATCGGAAAAGATTTCCGATTCCCCGAGTTCCACTGTGATACTCGGCGCAGCGCAGACCGTGCAAGCGTGAACGGAGACTATAGACCGGAGACAGCTCAAAGCTGTTTCCGGTCTATAGGGACACGAATGATGTCACATCACTGTCCCAAGTGACACCACAGAAGGAGAAGAAACACAAACGGACCATCACAACCCGGGAACCGCACGACCGACAAGTTTTTCTTAGGGCAGTAGGGGGAATCGGGATACGGTACTTTTGGCATCCCCGTATATGAGTGGAATACGCAACAATCTTCTGTTGCGTTGTGAGCACAGAGCGGTACAGAGTGAAGTTGGATTCACATGTCGGCGTCACAAGTCTACGTGCCGCTTTGAGATATATCAGCAATGTTGAAATTGAATTTCACTGTCGACTTTCGACAGTTGAATCCGTGGCCAAGAGCAGTGGTCATGCTAAACCTCTTGTATAATACTACAGTCTAGCTAAGCAAGACTTTCACGTTAGCGTGAACGGCGAGATGCTCTCGACTTCGAGAATTCGCTGGTCGCTAGCGTCGAGGCGAGTTGACGCAGCTTCAAACTCAATTCGCGTGAATTGGTCAAATTGAATCCGATTTGTTACTTTTTCTCCATATGAAAGTTATGAAATACTCCAGCTGTGACTATGCTCACCTTCGTAACGAGCGATAGGGTTATTGGACCATAAATAATTCGTAGACCTCGCAGTGCGCCGGCGCGTGACCCTCAGCTATGCGACAGCCGAGAGGCTGTAGCTATATGACCGTCACTCTATGCGACGCCGCTTCGCCGATGCGCAACAACGACTTGCCTCCACATCTTGTACCACTAATGCACAACCTGGTGAACGTCTCACTTTTGGTCTGGCTTAACATGGTCAGGGCTGATTTCGCGGTCGGGAGGTGGGTCCGTGAGGAGGGAGTATGACTTACATTGTGTGATAATAGAACCCCTTTCAGAACCGAAGTCCTTGGACCATTCCCGACAGCGGATAGCAATGACGATGCCAACTTAACCTCAGGTCAGTCATATGGATTCGGTCACAGCTCGAGGCATGAGATCGATCATCAATTGCTGTGTTCATTTCAGGGGGCGGGGAGTATGAGAAACCGGTCGGTAAATGCACCATGGATACTTTTGGGCATGTGGTTGGTTGTGAATGCCGCACTTCCAACATGGTGTGTTACGCTGTAATCTTCAACGACCCCTCCCACTCAGATATCCGTCGCATTATTGTACAAATTCTCAATTTACCTTATTTCTTTCAGGACTTTTATATTGGAGTGATCTATGCAGCGGTCTGTGGTAACGTTTGTGGGAAAAGCGACGACTGTCCGGAGCCTCCTTCTGGACTGCCACAATGCCAGCCTTTCGGAGTATGCACTATCGTATGCAGCAATGATGAGGTAAACTCAGTTCGCTCCGATACTGGCCTACAAGTGGCGTCTTCTCAGGACTGTCCTGAAGGTGGGTTTTGTCTAGATAGCGGGGCCCAGGGGAAGTATTGCTCTTTCCGCAATTGATCAACACACAATCATAGATGATCACTCGTGAGCGGTATGTTTCGAACATAATTCTTGACCCATGGCTGATGGCCCTAATATTCGGACCGTCTCTATTTTGTCTATCTTAGCCTCGATTCCTGATAGACTTGATACAAATGTCTCTCCTCACTCCACTACACAAGTTTGTCTTTCCTGTAGACCTCAATGGTAACAAGTTCGGTCTGAAACGGTTTAATGCCGACAACGGCGAGGGAGAGTTCAATATTAACAACTTGTTGGCGTGTGATGTCGCCCGCTTTTCATGGAATAGAAACTGCTAGAGACACCTTTGATAGCACTACAATATAACAACTACAGATGTATGATATATGATTCACCTAATGTCGATTATTGACGAAACCTCGATACAACTTACATAATGGCATTATGCAATTCGGGTTCATTATGGTATGATGGCATCATATTATGATGATGATCATAATAATGCTCACAGTTGTGATGATTTGACCAGCTCGGCCACCCGAGCGTGG